CTTCTATAGACACACTAAGTAAATGAGTTTAAGAATATTTGAACACAATACTTCTTCAACAATCATGGTTTGCTATAATCTTTCACAATAAGTGTAACAGCCCAATTTTCAATAATTAATTATTTATGTTAATTAATTGGTTTATTTGGATTATTCTAATTATTTGAATGATTAGATGATTGTTTAAATAAATTGATAGATGTTTTGAGAGAGGGAATAAATTGGAGAGAAACCGAAGGGAAGGATATATGAAGGGGGAGCGGAACGAAAATGAAAAATAGAAAACATGAAAGAAAAGTGGAGGAAGAAGAGAAAGTAGAAGGAAAAGCTTGGAAAGCTCAAGAACGACTTCTAGCTTCCGATTAATCGAGGTAAGGGTGTGAAATCTTACTATCTTAATCAATGTGTATGATTATGTATGTGTGTGTTTGGATTTGTTGGGGGTTTCCTACATTTTTCCATTTTAGGTCGAAGTGGATTTAATCGGTAGAAACCGAGTTTGAACGGTTAGAATTTGGAATAGACGGTGTAGTATAGTCGGGTGATGAGTGGGTTGTGCTACTGGAACTGATTTGGATTAAATCGGTCGGTTTGTGAGGTTTGGGCTTTTGGACAGCCATGGAAGTTCTGAGTTCGCAGGTTCGCCAGGCGAATGGCAGTGAAGCTTCGCCGGGCGAAGCCCAACGAGCAGCAGGCGAACCAAGTCAGAAGAATCCACCATGTCTTTGCTGGCAAGTTCGCCAGGCGAATGAGTGTGGCGAAGGTTCGCCAGGCGAGTGTGCTAGCGAGTGCTAGCAAGTAATTCCATAATAACTCCCAGTGGTCTTCGCTGGCAAGTTCGCCAGGCGAACGAAGTAGCGAAGGTTCGCCAGAGGCTTCGCCAAGCGAAGGTCAGCGAATGTGACAACATTTGTTTTATTTCGGTTGGTTCCATCCAATGTCGATGTATTTGATATAATTATGTAGCGTATAGCTTGTGCGCTGTTATATGTTGTGCTGTGGGTAGCCGTATGGCGTGAATCCTAGATTATGAATCGATTGTGAATATGTGGCCTTTTGGCATATGTGATGCATTGTTTAAATTGATTTAAATGCATGATGAATGTGATTGAGTTTGTTGCCGTTTGGAACTATATTTGTAAGTGCACATTACTTGTATGCGATGGTGGGTGAAGAACGCATGAGATTATATATGGAGAGTACATGTGCATTGTTTGGTAATGTAAGAATGGTGTGGGAAATGAGTATATGTGTTGAGTCATACTCACTGGGGTAGAATGGCAAGTTGTCGTTCCTAGTGGAGTAATTACTGGGGTAGAATAACATGATGTTATTCCTAGTGAGGTATAGTGTCGTGGTTGTATACACCGGGGTAGAAGGACTAAGATGTCGTTCCTGGTGGGATAATTACCGGGGTAGAATAACTGAGATGTTGTTCCTGGTAGGGTATAAGTGATGTACCCATACTCCCAAAAAGGGATTGGTGTTAATTGATGAGTTTTATATGAGCCATATGGCATAAATATCATTGTTGTATGAAGGATGCTGATGTGTATGAATTGTTGAATTGTGAGTTATAAATGTGAATCTAGAATTAAGCGATATGAAATGAATGATGAACATATGTATATATGCATTGTGATATATATATATACATATATATATATATATATATATATATATATATATATATATATATATATATATATATATATATATATATATATATATATATATATATATATATATATATATATATATATATATATATATATATATATATATATATATATATATATATATATATATATTGCGAGTGCATAATGAATATATGTTATTAATGTGATGAATGCATGAGTATGTTTGTAAACATGTGTGCATTTCAAGGGTGTCATGAGTCATGTTGCATGTGAAGCATCATGGTATGCATTCTTGTGTTGATTGATTCCTCGGTGAATCTGCAGAACCTCGTGTGCCCTTGTGGGGTATGAGCGATGGTTATTTATTGATTCCTCGGTGAATCTGCAGAACCTCGTGTGCCCTTGTGGGGTGTGAGCGATGGTTATTTATTGATTCCTCGGTGAATCTGCAGAACCTCGTGTCCCCTTGTGGGGTGTGAGTGATGGTTATTTATTGATTCCTCTGCAGAACCTCGTGTGCCCTTGTGGGGTGTGAGCGATGGTTATTTATTGATCCCTCGGTGGATTTGCAGAACCTCGTATGTTGCGATGGTTATATTTGATTCCGCGTAGAATCTGCAGAACCTCGTGTGCCCATGTGGGGTGTGAGCGATGGTTATTTTTGGTTCTTCAATTGAACCTGCTGAAATGAGTCGGTACCGCATTTGCATATGTGAAATAAACATGAATGTGAATGTTTATGTGAATTGGCGATGAAAAGAACATATTTTGTATGTTTATATGGATTTGATTGGGATTATGGATGTACGCATGATAAATATGCTTGATGGTTATCCATATTTGTATATATGTAGATAGCAATGTATATGAGTGAATCGTGAATATATGCATGATGAGATGCTTGGTTATATATATATGTATACATTGTAATGTATGTTAGTGAGTGGTGATGTATTGTGGTAAGAAGTATAATATGGATATTCTATGTTATAGAAGTATATTATATGCTTTGTTATTGTGTTAATATGCATTGTGGTGAGAAAAGGTGGAATATATATATTATGTACTTGTGCATTTATATATGATTATGTGCATTGATTATTATGGTAATGTTTCTCACCCTTCTGCTGGAATGATGTCCTTTATGACATCGTACATGTATCTTAGTGTAGTACTGCTAGTAGTTGCGAGTTCGCTGTTGGTGCAGTTGTTTAATATTTAATTATGTTGGGACAAGTCATGCTCTGGTCATGTAACACTGGGATCGCAGAGTTTATGCCTTAGAGATATATTGTGTATTCTAAGTTGTGTTTTAAATGTATTTGAAATATGTGATAATGGTCTCTGTGCCTAAGTGTTGATGATTATGTGATGAACATGAATATTCTGTAAAGGAGTTTATGTAAATAAATTGAATCCGCTGCTACATGCAAGATGAAAATTTAATAGCATGACTATTTATTTCAATGTTACATGAGTATGACAGGTGAATGTTGAGATTTTGTAAAATTGTGTGACGCCCTTTTGTGAAAGCATGTTAATTTACTCTAATTAATTATGTATTTTTATGTGGGGTTAGAAGGGTGTTACAATAAGCACTCATCTTACTAGAAATTGTTAGGGGTTTTTGCAAAGTAATCATTATCATATTTGTTATTTTCATGGCAATAATTCTTTTCTGAGTCGGTCGTACCCTCTTCGATCTGGCCACACCTTAATAAATTCGACCACCATAAGAAAAGAGCTCCCCATATTGCTCCAAGTCGGGAATGCTCAATTTTTGAGTCGATCACTAGAAAACATAACATTATAGATTCAACTCAAGTATTTACTAAAGCTTATTGAATATTCTCCTCACCACTGAACCTTCAGTAATCTGAAAGCATCCAACAGTCCTCCGCATTTCACGTCGGGAAAGTAGCGAGAAAGTTACTTCTCACCCCTATATATATATGATGACACCATTTCTGGTAACAAAGTTTAAATACAATTTGAATACTCTCTCATCATTCACATACTGAATTGAACGCCAGAGTGCTAATCTTGCAGGTACACCCCCCGCTCTGTTGAATCAGAAGCTTTCCTCCGTCGCAACTTCCGTGACTCTACACATTTCTGGTTCCAGAACAGAAAAAATCCTAAACTTCATGCGCAAAGCTTGTGATTCAGCTCATTTGACATTAGTTCAACCTTGATATTTTCTTCGTATTAATTCCCAAATATCCTTTGTCATATTAAGAACAAGATCTGTTTCAAGAATTAAAGGATATCAATTACTTGAAATAGATAGTTCTTGACTTTGAGATTACAAAACTTACTCTCATTTGAAAGTTTGTGTTGCTCCTCTGTGGCATTAGGAGGAGAAATTATCATGCCATTATCAATAAGATTCCAATATTTCTTAGATCGAAGACAATTCTCCATCAATATCACCTATTGATCGTTGAAGTCATTGAATTTAAGGATTGTAGGTTGTATGAAATTGAAGGGTTCTATCATGATCGCGATCATAAATGAACGAAACAATGGTGGGGAAGATAAAGATAAATGTCCTGTAACCATCATAACTAACTTAGATTCCTAAACTAAAACTATATCTTTTTTAGTGACACACCATGACCCAAGTTAGACTTGATACCACTTATTAATACAACTTGTTAAAAAAACGGTTTTCCTTACTATTATTGATGTCACAATGACTCTTACGCGTCTTATTAGAATAGTCAATTAAATACTTGCAATACCAGTAATTAATCTTGGCCAATTACAAGATTAAGCCTAACAAATACTATTTTAAAATAAATTTTGTTTTAATAAATAAAATTTATTTCAAAATAAAAGACATTTTCACTTTATGTAATTTGTTATTTTATGAATTGTCATGTGAAGTTATTATAAACTACACTACATCTATTATGTTATAAGATTAATTTAATAAAAACAGAGTGTATTTTTTAAAAAGAGTTTTAGTACTTATCTTAATCTTTATTAAAACATTTAAATGATACTAGTATTCCTTTTAAAATAGAAACCGTGCAATTAAAAAAGAAACAATGGAAAACATAGTTTGTCCTCCAAACTTGTGTTAACTAATACTAGTAACTACTTTGGTATTCTAGTTTTAGAAAACAAAGCAAACACTATTAGAGAAAAAAAACGATTATGGTTCACAAGTTACAATTTCATGAAACAAAAAACGAGCAAAGTATAGAAGAGAGAGGAAAAAAACAAGAAAACACACTATTAGAGACTCGAGAATTGAAGAAACAAACAAGAAACATTAGAAACAGAGTACCCTTGCCGTGCATTACGTAATGTAATATTGTAAGGGTGCATGCATCAACATGAGAATCAAACGATTTATGTCGCAAAAGAAAAAGAAGTGACACGAGGTGTGTTGGTGTTGTTGTTTCTGTGAGATAAAGAGGATCTAGCAAGTGGTGGTTTACTTACACCCCCTGCTCTACTATTTACACCACCACCCACGTTTTTCCATGCTGACGTGGCCCCTCTTTGTCCCTCACATTTCACCGGCTGTGGCCCCACACTAACCGCTTTCTCGCATCGACAGCTCACTAACAAACCACCGTTCCCTCCTTTTCTCTTCCAATGCTCTGCCGGCACGCCGCCGCCACTACTACTACCTCCATTGCCACCGCCACCGCCAACGCTGCAGCTACTTTCATCATATCCATCTGCGGTCGTCACGCTCCACTCAATACTCCCCTCGCTCGGCTCGTAACACTCCGTCATTGCTGTTGTCACCGATCCTTCGTCAAAGGAGTCTCTACTGTTTCGACGGTAAGCAGAAGCGGCGTACGAGGACTGTGTTGCGGTAGAGAAACTCTCGATCTCGAACAAGTCGGAGCTCGCATCACTCGCCGCGTCGCCGTCGTCGATGATGATTCGCGACATTGGAGGCGGGAAGGGGAAATTTAGGGATTTCATATCCACGTTTAGTTCGTCCGGTGGTCGGAAAACCTCTAGTGATTCTCGAGGTGGATCATCCGAAACGACGCCGTTTTTGAGTTTTGCTGTTGTTGAGCTTGAATTAGGGTTTAACACCGGGAATGTAAATCCTTCTGTATAAGGTACTCTTACGGTTGTTACCACTGGTTGGAATCTTTGAGATTTAGTTACAAGAGTCGGTGTTTGATCCACGTTGTTGTTAATCCAGTTGTTCATCGGTGGCGGTGGTGGTGGTGACGGTGACGGGGAAACCGGTGAAGGGATTTTGATAGTATTTTTGGGTAATTCTGTTGACTTTTTTTCTCTGACTTGAACTGATTTTTTACCTGTGCAAGGACATTTTCTCCTTAAAAGCCAAATGGGTTTGGAAAGTGATGTTCTAAACGTGTTGTTGTTGTTGTTAGGGTTGGGACTCGAAGGGTTTTTTATGTTAACTGAGATAGCACCTGCTGGGTGAGATAACAAGCCTTGTTGACTATTCCAACTAGCTTCTGATGAAGCTGTAGGTGTTGCAGTATGGAAGGATCGAGCTCTATAGTTTCTGATGTTTGAATAACTATCTACCGTGGAAGAAGCAGAGGAGTATCTTGTGTTATCTGGTATAACAATGTTCTCTGTTAATGTTTCATTGTTTACATTAACCATCACAGGTGAAACTCTGCTATTGTTGTTGATGTTGTTGCTGCTGATTGAAACTTTTTGGATGTTCTCATTGTTGGTCAATTCGTTGAAATATTTGTGGGCATCGAATATGCTGAGCTCAGATGTGGGATCCTCGAGTGTGCGGTGATGATTATGATTATGATTATTTGGTTGGCGAGTGTTTGGCTTTTGGGGGTTGAGATATGATGAGAAAGATGCATCTCTATCTTTTAAGATTGGTGATTTTGGAGGCAGGTTGCATTCAAAGGTTTTCATTGCTATTGCTGTTCTTTCCATATCTGTTTTCATGCGCTCTTTTTTCTGCTTCTGCTACTGATGTTATATTAGTTTAATATAGGTAATAACTAGAAAAGATGAGTGAAGGTGAAGATGAAGTTGAAATGAATCTGAGAAAACTACTAGGTTGTGATGTTGGTTGCCTATGATATTCCTTTTGCTATCATATATATGTGTTTCAGGTCTGTGTACATATCACCAATTATATATAACCAAACATGTCATATTCTCCTTACCCTACCTTATTTTCTTACTCTTCAATGAAACAAATTCCCAGCCTATGATTTGCCTCACACACTTGATGTATTATTATAACATACAACAAAAGTCCTAATTTTTTAAAATCGATGATATATTTTATCTAGATTATGATATCTATGTGAAAAAGAGTGATTGAATAACCAATTATATGTATGTGATACTTCATTATTTGGTTGCATTATGGCCATCTTTAAGTAGCTATCTCATACTAGAAATTCAATCATTGAAACTAATTTCAGTTCCTTATTTTAAGATGAAGATAATAGTAGCTTAGGCTACCATATTATTATTATTATTATTATTATTATTATTATTATTATTATTATTGTTATTATTATTATTATTGTTAATGTTATTTTATTTGTACAAGTTATTATTCCATCTGTCCCACAATGAATGGCCAATTTAAAATAAAAAAACTTTTCAAAATGAATGATCCATTTTAATTTCTAATGCATATTTTCTAATTCCATCATTTAATTAATACTATTACTTTCATCATTTCTAATATTTGATAAAGAGTATTTTAGTAAAGATATTATTATCCTTCTCCTTTGTTTCTTTTTTTAATGAGAGAAATAGTCAATTGGATCACTCATTGTGGGAGAGATTATAATAAAATATAACATAGAATTCTTTATTGATTTATGGATCATACTACATTATAAGCTCTTACGAATTTTTGACACCTGTAGTTGCTGTTATTACTCAAGGTCATATGCATATCAAATCCTATCCTATTATATTTGTACAAGTGATGCATGTGGTTCAAATCATTGTCTTTGAATGACAGAATAATGTTAGGTCTATGTCACTCACAGCTTTCATAACATGAGTCTCTAGAACAGTCAAGGTTACTATTACAAAAACCTAAAATTGGCTGAATCACTTTTCCCTTGATTGGATTGTTTTCCAACTTCATATATAGCAATTTATCAAATTCTGTTCTTACTTACCAAGTTGGTTTTCTCTTCTTGTGGTTGGTTGATAAGTTTGGTACTAGTATTGATTCAATAAAGTTGGCAAGAAAATAAGTTCTATCCGAGACATTAATCACCCGCCAGATAACAATGTGCCTAAGTGAGGGTCCATTGGATTTGACATTTAGGGCAAGAAGTTGTGTCTGAACTGTTGAGAGACCATAAAGAAATGTCTCTATGGGTTTACCATATCAATTATCATAGGTGGATTGATTTTGGAAGCAGTGTATAGTGGGTCACCATTAACCCTCTAGGTAACATGCTCTGCTTTATTGCCTGCCTTTAGACCATTTACGCATGGCTCTTGATCATGTAGCTGGTGGTTGCCTTAGATCAATATTTGGATCATGCTATCTTTTCTCCATTAACATATTATATTTACTGGATTATTCTTTATCTTGTTATTAACATCTATTTTACTGGACACTGGACACTGTTTCTTTAATGAAAGGAGTGCTTCTGATGTGTTATAGTCCTAATTTCTTGTTATATTATTGTTTTCTTTTTGTTTTGTTGTTTCATCTTGGTATGTCTGAATTTCTGATGGATGGGATAAGAATATGCCCAACCTCATGAAATAAGACCTTCGATACTACAATAAGAGGATTGACAGAAGAAAAGAGTGTTCCTAAGAGCTATGGTTTAAGTAAGGTTTTATGTTGGACTAGAAACTAGAAAATCACTACCCCATTGAAGTAGAATAACTCCATTTAAGTAGAAAGTCTGATTTTATGTTCATTTAAGTGTTTATCATCTAAGTAAGATATGTGACATTGTACACGACATAATGTTGAACGGTTAATAATTAACACGAGAATAAAATAAATATAATTGAGATAAGGATGTTGCCTCAGGTGGTACAACTAAAAACGATATGATTAGGGGAAATTATTAAAGAGTGGTGGGGAACTTCTAAATTAGAAAAAAAATATGGTAGAAAATAGATTTAAATAATTTAGGCACATATAGAGAAGATATTTAGATTTTGTGGTTAGAAGGATAGACCTAACGATAAGAAGTCAAATAGTTAGTGAAAAGAAAAGACCTCAGAAAAAAATAGTATAAAAAAAATTATTAATTTTTTTTCCTGAAATAAACGATTTGGATAAAAACATGATTTTGATTTTGAATATTATTGCAAAAATTGATTTATATATGCGTCACCATAAATTTGTACACTTAAATTCTATTTGGTAGAAATAGCGGTTCTCTGATAAGTTAACTTATAGTTTATAGTTTATGACTGATAGCTATTGACTTATTAGTTGATGATTGATGACTTATAATTGATAAATTAATTGAAGTGTTTGATAAAATTAGTTGTTTAATTAATTGATAAAATAAAATAACATAAAAGATATTTAATAATTCTTATTTTATTTTAGATTATAATAAATTATAAAGGATAGTGGTGAATTTTAGTTAAAATAATAAAAGTAAAAGTGGAAGAAAAATGATAAGTTATATTTTAAACGCTATTTTGAATAGCGTATAGAAAATAAGCTATAAACTAATAAAATAAATTATAAGTGTGTGATAAAAATACTGTTATCAAACATATTTTTTATTGTCATATAAGCTTATAAACTATAAATCATAAGTCATAAATTCAAAAAAATGTCTTATCAAACAAAGTTTTAATAGAACAAATTATCTCATGGATGATTGAAAAATAATTTTTATAAATAAAGTTGTTTTATATTTGTTTATTAAGAGAAAAGTCACTTTTTTTTTTTCCATTTTATAATTTTAAGATAGATTTTATCAAAACAGATTTTAATTTTAGATACTTTTTAAATTACTTTTAAATTTTAATTTAAAAATTTGTATGGCAGGGATACATTTTTTTAAAATAAAGAAGATTTTTTGCAATAAACGTGTTGTTAATGAGCTTGACACAAAGTTCTTTATTAGTAGGAAACCCATGTGATGTGAGTGGAATATAAAGTTTCACATAAAAAGGGATGGACGAAAGACTTGACAAGTAAACTCAAATCACACGTACTTGTACTTATCTAATTATAGATTATTTGATAAATTTCACCTTAAAGTGACTAATGATTTAAAATGTTCATGTTGAAGATAATAATTATTAATTAGATGCATGTGTTATGAGTATTCCTGGAAAAAAAAATCTACAACAGGTAAAAATATGTATCATAAATAAATGGACGAGTACATGAAATGAGTAGTAGCATATAGGAGTTTTTGACCCACATGCCACGTTACTTTCATATATTGCAGTTAGGTTGTTTTAATCGGGACTCCAAAAAAGCTCTTCTCATAAACATAAAGTATGTTCGAATTTGTGGTATGAGATGAAATGAAATTGTGTGAAGTGGTAATTAATGTAATTTTATTGTTTGAATTTATAAATAATGGATGAAATGGAATGGAACATGATGAAATCTATTGCATCCCATTCCATTCAAATCTCCATTTTTTGTTCCATTCAATTTGGAGTGTATGTGATGGAATGAGATATTTTTAATAAAATAACCAAATAATAGAGTAAGATCTATATTCCATTCCGCTTCATTCCCCTCCGTTCTATTCCATTATGTTCCATCAATCCAAACATAGCCTTAAAGACATTAACAACTTTAAATACATCAGTTATATGCACAAAATAATTTTGTCTTATACTTAAACACATTGCAATAATATGTGAACAAGGGATATGAAAAGTTTGAAATCTTCCACACTCACATGTCTGATTCTTGAGGCTGACGTTGAAAAAGATAGTCAATCTACCGTCGTTGTGATTCACAGTTTCTAGGACCAGGAAGTAGAACCTCTGGCAATCAAATTGCATAATCTTATGGCTATTGGATTTGATTACCTCTTCATCAATTCTCTTCATAAATTTATTGCATACATTTGCATATTTGATTATTTATTTAAGTCATTCATCAACATTTGTATATATGGTAACAAATTTAGACAAAAGGTTCCACAATAATAGATTTATTTAGTTTAAGTGAATTTTCAAGACGAATATTATTCGATGATTATTCGAATTTATTTTTCATATTACTTGTGGTGCAGGTCATCTCTTTTCATAATTAGCGGAGAGATTGGAATGATTATCACTTAGTTCGGAAGATTGCTTAAATTCAAAGAAAAGGGTAAAGTTGGATTAAAAAGAAGATTTCATTCATTTATTGAAAATTCATGGTAAAATGCATATTGCTTAAGATACGAATCAAAAGAATGAATTACAAGGAAAAAGGGTAAAACAATACATCTTTTGGGTACAATTGACTTTTTGGTCAACTGTTGACCATTGACTCAATTTTGACTCCTGAATTTTCTTAGACGTATTCTACAAACATTTGATTAAGGGATTCATCATCATTCACCATAAATTACTTCTGTCATGATTATGTTAAGTGCTAATTTCCAACAAATTCTATCTTCCATCAAGCTTCACTTCCATGACTTGTTCTTCACTTCCCAATGTTGCTTCAAGGTCATTCTTCTACTACAATGTTCATTTTGATACAAGGAAAAAGGTACACCAAGTTAGACATTCATACCATGAAGTTAAATCTTCAAAAAGTCATGAAGAACTTAAGAAACAAAAGGAAAATTCTGCACTATGTAGTAATTCACTACTTGTTTTTCAACACCTTCCAACATTGATTCATGCCCAAAAATTCAGAATTCGATCCATGAGTTTACACTATTAAAAAGTGCTTATTTTCAACACAAAATCACTTCTCAAAAGCACTTAAAGTCATGAGATAATTTACAAAAATTCAAGGCAAA